TATCATGCTGCTCGAATAAAAATGTACTTTTGTCTTCATTTGATTAATAAACTGACAATCTAGCCTGGCTACGAATACTCAAAAAAAAAAAAAATTAATTTATGTCAAATTCAAACAATTGAGTATGATTTTTATAGATTAATTGATAAATTCAATTAAAAGTTGAATTTTTTGATTTAATTCTTAAGTGATTGTACTAAAAATTATAAGATTTATATTTTTTATTTAATACAGTATTTGTCTAATAATATATAATATAGTTTTATAAACTTTAATTATTATAAATATTAAATTATTTTATTAATATAAATTTAAAAATATATTTTATAAGTAAAAATATTTTTATTTGTTTTTAGTAATTAAAAAGATATCATATATATTATTAATAAACTCTTTCTACTAATCCTTTATTCATACATAAAAAAGATGTTCACAAGAAATTTTTTAATACTATCTTTAAACCAACTTGAAGTTTTATTTTAAGAGATATTTTTAAATCTTCTCACTTGTTTATATTTATTTTCAAACAAAAACTTGGCTTCTTGTGACCTAAAAAATCAAGAAACACCTTCTTTATCAATGACAAAAAAGTTTTGTAAGTAAGAAAAATTAATAGTATAGTACTTGAAGTCTTTCATATTGAAGCATGGTTATAGAGGTTTCTAACAATGGAAGGTAACAAACATCAAGCTATATTTCAAGATATTTGTCCACTGTATCTTCCCTTTTATGGTCACACAAAAATTTTTTTCTTGATTTTCTAAAAAATTTTGTTTACCTCAATTTGACCCTGAATTTTAGGTGACATAACCCATTGTAAAATATAATTGATGGGTATAAAATACATTAGTAGCTGAATATAAACAAATCCATTTCACGTGTTCTAATAATATCATTGGTAAAAGAAAGAGAATTTATTGGTATGAATCCTCCACTTCTTTGAATGAAGTATAACTGAAGCAAAAAAATCATGAGATCATTAGGATGGGCACTAAATTCCTTAGGTGATAAAAAGATGATTATTTGTTCAAGCTGAGGTCTTCAACTTCCTATTATCCTGGTCAAACAAAATATGTGAAGGAGGTTATTTCCTTATCCCGATCAGGCAATAAGACTGAAAAGTAGAAGACTGTGAGCCATTACCCTTCTCTAGGATTGAGAATGCATTTTCTCAGACATTGTGCAATGATATTATAATAAATAAGGATCTCTATATGCTGTGAGACCCTCCTACCATTGCAAGGTAAAAAGACTATTGGGAAATCTAACTTTTTGAGCAATAGAAGATACTCACCAGTAAAATTCCTTTAACTAGGCATGGTTGCTGAAAGATATCGGTAACTACACAATATGACTAAAAGGTTATATAAGAACCTGGGATCCACTATAAGCTGTTAAGGTCTGCATGGGTGGATATAAAATCAATACCAAAAGAAAAAAAGTGACAAGCAAGATGCTGGATCTGAGTAGGCGATAAGTACTTTTGATGGTCACAAGAAAATAATTAAGATTATGAATAGATAAGTTCCTCAGATGGTCAGAAAGAAGAAGAATATCCCAGAAGGGTTGACTTCTAATGAATAGACTTTCAAATTTGCAAAAATCCATCATTTGATCTAGTGTTGGGACAAGATTGGTTATGAATGCGTAAAGCCAAATAATCTTTTAATTTTCTTCCAAAACATGTAACCACCATGCTAAAATTTGCAATAGACAGTATGAGTATCCCACTAATCGGAGACAATAACAATAATGCCAGCCCCATTAAAAATGATCCGATTTATCAATAGATGAGATCACGAATATGATTGAATTCTTTCAGATGCTAAAGATAATATACACCGAAAGAAATGTCACAGAATATTTCACATATATCTTCAACACCCCAAAAATTAGATAATGTTTTCAAAAATAGTGGTGCTAGCAAGAAAAATAGAATCAAGTATTCCACAGATTTGGATACTCCTTTCAATTCAGATATTTCAAGCTCAAATACGCATAAGACTGCATCTGCAAAGAAACGCCCTATTAAGTGAAGACGTTGCAAAATAAAAAGAAAAATTAATTATAACCACGAAATCCCATCACGTTTTAGGGCAAAGCAACAATAGGGCGATGTCATGTGTAAATCCGCATATAGCGGGATTTCTTTATTATATGAAAAAATTGCCAAATGGCATACAGATATGAAAAAACATATCAATCCGTGGACCAGGATTTAACCAATCATCATCGTCATTCTTTTTATCACGTTTTAAGTTATCTTTTGACATTTTTTCCCAGGTCTTTTTATCTAATTTTAATTAAAGATATGGTTCTGTTAGCCACTGTGCCTGTCTTTGACAATTATATTTCAACACGGTGAAAATAAATAGAATGCTTCATAGAGTATTTATAACACAAAACTTACAAGATAAGGATTGTCTTGGCTTGCTTTGTTGTTTTGTTCTCGGTGCGGAAAACGATAGGTTGCTAGAATAATTGCTCTCAGAGGTGTTATTATCGTTGTTCTTGGAGGCAGAGGAATCGTTGGCCTTGACAGCGGTTTTCTTATTACCGCTCATTTTTACGATCCTAAAATACAGATATAAATATATTTTACAAACTTAATTGAATAGTGGTATAATAAATAGTGATAGATTACTTCGAATTAGTAGTAGAAAACGGTATTGGTACCACCCACAAGAGAGAAAAGACGATGAATTTTATACCGTCCCATTCCTTCAATCTATTCCAAGAACCAAAGTATTTTTCGTTATTTTTTCGGTTAACCACTTAGTATGAGTCAGGTTTTGCCTGTGACCGCCTCCAGTAAAACACCACCTTAATTTCAACGATCTCACTTGTAAAATAAAAAAGTCAATGATCGCGATGATCTGAAAATTCCAAGTCCTTGTGAAATATGAATTTTGATAAAGCTACTAATTAAAAGTGATAAGCTCATTCCTCTTATGGCTCTTTTAATCTCATTTCGTCTTTTTTCTCATAAGGAAGATAGTTCGTGTTTGCCACCGGTAAAAATAAGCGTCATTTAAGCGTAAATTTCTGATCCCTGATTCGTCGATTCAATACGTAATGCGTAGAAGTTAGGTGTTTCCCATCATGTATACTTTAAAAGCGTAAACGAAACTCAAAAGACAGCAAGGAGGAGCAGACAGACAATCTCTATTAATGCGTATACTAAAGGGGTCCGATGTGAATTTATTTCATCAATATTACACGCATCAAACGGAGGCTAACAGATAAAGAAATTCATATAGAATTGCAGAGAGATACAGTATTTCGGGTGAAGTAGCATCTGGTCGAGTGGATTACGCAATAACGGGAATAGAAGATCTTTTGTTGTATTACCGAGGGAAAACCACGATTGGTTACCTTCAAAATATAAAACAACTCGAGGGTTCTTTCCACATGAACAAGAAGAAGCGAACGGCAAATGAGTCATTCAAGGGTGGGGATTACGACTATCTATATGGGATTGTCTCACAGCCATAGATTGGCATTTCATTCTGATGGGATTTTAAGACAAGTAATCGGTATTGAAGAATAGGGTTTCTGCGTGTGACGAACCCGTATCCAAGAAGCGACGCGTTTAAGAAAAAATTCAAAAATAAGGGTACAAAAAGACGCGTTTTGTGTTACGTTTCACATAAATAGCTTCGAAGGTCATAGGAGGACTTCACTTTAGAAGAACACACTCCAGAGAATTAGATAATGACCATCATTAAGAGTTTTATTCGTGCTAGCTCTGTTAATAATTAAAGAATACCGAAACTTTTTAAGCATTTGTTTTTTTTACCTCGTAAGAATTCTCCGGCACATGTACATGTAGTACAACCGAATCATGTGTAAGAAAGAATTTTTTCTAAAAATAGATTTTAGCGCGATAATTTTATGGTACTACCACAAATCCTGACGTGTTTAATTTTTTGCTTAAAAAATTAGCATAAAGATTATTATAATGTTTAATACCTCTAAAAAGGGCGGGTCTAGTTACTTTACTCAAACATCGGTACGCGATTGGGATCCACTAGACTATCATACTTTTTGGAAAAGTACATCAGTTAAACTAGATAAAGCAACGGTAACAAGAGCTTTTAATGAACAAGTCGAATGGTTAATAGAAAACGGGGTCGAAAGCGAACAGGAGAAGGCGAAATATCTAAAGAAACAATTTCAAGTAAGAGATAATGGCTGTAGGGACCCCGTGGGACACCGTGGGACCCGTGGGACTATGTCTCCTACACGATACTCCTGCACGGTACTCCTGCTACAGACCATTCATGCTGGTTTAAGATATTGTAGGGACTCCGTGGGACTATGTCTCCTACACGGTACTCCTGCACGGTACTCCTGCTACAATCCCTGCAATTATGTATAATTTCTAACTACTTTCCTAGATTGATTCACGGAAAGGTGGTCGAGTATATCTTTTTTGGGAAGAAGAAATGCACATTGAAAAACTTGATAAAATCGAAAAGAACGCTTCTATCAGGATTCGTAAATTTAAAGTAAATATTATGTGATGGTTGATGTATAGTCATTATTTATTGATTTCTTGGTCCATTTTCGATATACTGTAGACACGGCATCATTATTCTGTTGCAAATCGTGTACTTACGGGAAAAAACAACATAAATCCTCTTAGTGTAAGTTACAAAATAAACGCTTTTAAGAAAACAATGATTAAATTTTTGATCTGGGTTTTTAAAAGAACTTGTTGATAGTTAGATCATTTTCTTCATTAAATAGATAAGAAACGACAATGTAGCTAATACCTATTCCAAAGACACCAGTTCGGAGAAGGTTAAAGAAGAATCTCAAAAGAATGGAAACTTAGCCTGTAAAGATAATTTGAAAAGAAAAAGAGATGATGATGAGTCGGACTATGAAGGATTGTCGTTATTATTTGATGAATCAAACGAGGATGTCCTTGTGGAAAGTATTGATGAAAAAGTACTTGAGAAAGAGAATATGTTGCCACAAGCAATTAGTAATAGTGTCTCAAAGGTATGCCTTAATGTTAACAGTTGGGAATATATATTCGTCAGGCTCATTATATTAATCCTAAATTGGGTCAACCAAAGAATATGGATGCGGGTATTATTGAAGCCTTTCACAAATATCAGAAGACATTACCAAAGACCCGTAAGATTTTTACGTAAGTTTGATGTCATTTATCGTTGCTTTTAGTAATGGTCCAATTATTGATACATTCCATCATTTTAATTCGATAGTCCTGCGTACTGGGGGGTTCTGGATTTAACTGGAGAAAGCTTATACGATTGTAAACAGCTCACAGAAGAGGATATAACGCAAATATCACAAGACTTTGCCAACAAAATTTCCTGGAAAACAGTACCTCCAGAAGAGAATATACAAGAATATTTTGATAGTAATTGTGAGAAAAAGTTTGACGGTATTAGAAAATTGGATGTCAACATTCAGTTTATGTATGTATTGGTTTTTTTATTATATTTATTATTTGGTCATAGTTTTCTGACTCTACATTGCAATGCAGAAAAAGTGATGTGTATAGTTTTCAAGGAATGATGACTGAGGAAGAATTAAAAATGAGTTCTGCATTTCCATTATTTCGTGGAATATTTACTTCCAATAGGATTAAAAATGCTTGGTAAATCATTTAATTATATTTGTATTGAAGGTATCTCTCAAGTATTAATAGCTATTTCGTATATTTTAGGGGAGAAATCCAGGCTTTACCTACAAATTATGCACGTAACGAAAAGGGAAATCCATTTAAAAAAGCACGGATAGGAAGACGTGTAGATATGAAGAGTACTCTCACCAAAACCTCTAATAAGTTTGAGGTCATTTACGGAGAGTAGCAGGAGGTTTGGGTCCACTTGGAATACCCACTGCCTGTCGTAAAAAGCGTTATCTCGATAAGGTAAAACTAATGACAACAATGCGCGATGGCATTAACAAACTGCTAAAAGAATGTAAATATATACCGCTCGAGAAACGTATGAATTTAATTATATATGGATGGCTTCAATTCGGTAGGTTTTGTCTACATCATGTAGGTTGGATTTAATTTGCTAATAAACGTCATTTTTATGTATAGGTCTAGAACTGAACTTCTATGCCATGGACTGGTCAGGCGCCGGTATATACAGATTTGGCTTAGTTGATCAATGCAAAGTTGTCTACAAGATTTGTGATCCATTGATCCATGAACTCATTGACCAAGTATACAAATTGGTCTTTTATGTATTTTTCCCTGGCTGTGAAGAAGGGTCTTCTTTAGATTACCATCAGACGAGGATGAATTTGGGATGCTAGAGGACGCGTACTGCATTCTCAAATTGCTTGAAGTAAGTAATGTTCTTTGCTAACAACATTATATAGTACATAAACATCTACCTAATTTTGTCGGTCAAATGTAGAAAAAATCACTCGAGGTTGAGAAATTAGTCAAACAATTATTTTTAGAAAACACGAAAGGGAAACGAAGGCAAATTGCATCCGAAACTGAAGCGGAGTTAAATGAAAACCGCTCCCCTGAAAGATGATAAAATGTATGGTGATAATGATTTTATTCAAACTTTTGAAATAAAAAACCATGCACGTTACAATTTATATTGTCAAGAAATTTTGTGCCTGCCATAAATGCTAACAACAGCGAATTGTTGTTAAGAATATCACATGAGCGTGAAATTCTTGAGTTAGTATACATCGATTATTTTTGAAGGCGCATTTTGGATAATACGCATATAATGCAAATGTTAGGAACACAATTATAGGGTCCGAAAATAATTACCCATATAGAAAAATAAATCTCAAACTTAATCATAAAATGAACCATCACGTGACTAAAGAATTCCATAATGGCGTATTCTCGAAGTTTGGCACTTTTTTAATATGTAGTATTGTAGGCTCGAAGAACCATAACCCTTTTATTAAAATTAATAAAGTTTACCCATATCGGGTATATTTGATCTACTGTACATAATTTTTCAGAAAAAATATGTATTCCGGTTTTATTGTACATGTATTATATAACATTTCTTGAACAATCCGATTTATAAGTTTCAACGGTGTTTAAATCATAATAATAACCCTAATCATCAGCAGAGATTTTTTTACCAAAAATAAATGACATGGCAGATCGTCACGCAGTCAAATTCGCGAAATTATCAAAATTGCCGTGAGCCGTATTAATGTTTCGCGGAACTAACATTAGTTAAATATAATATAAATTAAGATAATGCGTACATAAATATAAACTATTCATTAAAAAATTTTTTAATTAAATGCTAAATCGTAATTTTCAAACTTTATTTCCGGTTTATGGTCTATATGCCGGAAATAAGGTCCGAAAAACTATTTAAACAATATAAATTATTATTATAGTACGAAAATTTCACTCGAAAATAGTAATCTTACCTTATATTATTAGAGCGTCATATATATATATAGATTCTCTGGTGAATTATCATATATAATTATATCGATATACTTTGTTAATGCGATTATTGTTCTGATTGGGCACATGATCAAGGGACACTCGAAATAGATTGTGTAATAATTATCCAGATATAGTGTAAACGCATATACATACCCTTACCGATTACATTACCACGTTTTTTTTTCGCAAAAGTATACGCTATTCGTCTTGAGTAGGGCATTGGCTCTAGGAATTATTCCTAACGGCTCGTCGAATAGTGTCGCTTTTGTATTTCCCACCTATTAGTAATACACCAAGACTCTTTTTTCTCTGTATTGCTTTGTCGTAACCATGAACTCGACCAACAAACGAAAATAAGCTGTCGTATCCTGTTACGAAGAAAAAAGTTCTCACGGGGGCCCGTAAACGTTGGAACAAGAGGCTTAAGTTGGAACACAAACAAAACGATCAAGAATCAGAAGATAACGACGATTCCCTATCATGAACCCTTTCACCGAGTCCAATATAGTTTTTATTCATTAAAGGTATTGGCGGAACTGATATATAAATATGAATTGATTTACTTGAACTAGTATAGCGATTTTCTTGTCGGGTTATTTTTTGCGATGATAGGAAATTACCTGAGTCATTTGTTACGAGTTCGCTTCGGCGAGTTGTCCGTTTCGACATGCGAGCAACCTCCTACTAGGTTGCTCAGTATTTTGGCAACGGTAATCTTTCCGTTCTACAAAATATAACTCTTCACCAAAGTTTACAATTATTATCTTAAATTAATTTAAATATATAAGCGTGAGCTATCTTTTGATTAAAGCGAACTTAATTGCATTACTTGACATATTAGCACCGTACCCAATATGCTACCCGTGGATTGTCGAATCTTGATAAAGTGTATTATTTGGAAAAAGAGTGGACTAGTGTTCCCATCTCTTCCTGGGATCGTGTATCTACTAAAGAAAATAAAATTTTGGTGGATATTTCATCACGAGAAATACTGATCGAAGTGTTAATTAGGGAGGCGAGATCTGGCGATACCGACTATTTAGGGCTTACTGAAATTCCTCCATATTTTATCTCGTTAATCGATACGGATATTATTATTAAAGATTGTCCCGAATCTACCAGCAAATCGAATCATGGGGACGGTCCATTCATAGAAAAATCCAACAATAAACGTTTGGGCGGTGGTTAGGTCTAAAAAGATCTGATGGGCCAATTAAAAGAAAGCATGTGCGTCAACACCTCAGATTAAAATGGAGAAAACTTCGACATGCCATTGTTCTTCAAAACAATAAGAATTCACAAGATATCCTAAATAATGCTATCAAATGTAATACCCGAAAAGAAAAGGCCCACCTTATTATATCTGCACGTAATAATTTTCAATCTCTCGATAAGATAGTTAAGTTTCGGTACCTAACGATATCGGAGTGTGTCACAGATCAAGAAAAACGAACTTTAATCCATTTAGAACATTTTTATTTTTTCTTTGGTCGATTAATAAGGGTATTTGATCGTTAGTCCACATCACAAAAAAATTGACGGCCAAATAGTTGCGGTGTAAACTGAGATATACTTATTTCCCATACAATTATACTGTACAGTATATGAAACAAAAGTTCATCGTGCCTACATCACACCTACATTGCACCTTCATCATATCTTCATTACATCTATACGTGTCTTGACACTAGCTTCGCTATTATAAGGGTGTAATACATAGAGCAAAGTTAATTGGAATCAGCATTACGTCCGAAACTATAAAGAAAGGTAGATTCATTTATTATGATCAACGAAAAAAATATATATACTGTATATATTTATTTATTTAACCTGAAATCATGCTGCTTCGGCATGTCTTTATTGAGATACTGAGAGATACTACAGACTTTTTCACAAAGTAACTAACTCGTCATTGTACATTATTAGTTAAAGGATTACACTACTTAAAAAATATGAGTAGTTCACTAAGCTAGTTCAGATTAAACAAAACTAAGTCTAAACTAGGTACTCTAAATCAGATTTAAGGGACAATATTACATTCCCCTAGTAGCTTGGCATAGTACTTCTAAGTCAATCAGAATTATTGCCAACAGTTTGTCACTGTTGATTATCCTAAAAAATGATGAATTGTTAAAGTATGACATTGGGAAAAAGAAAAAAAGGAAAATATAATTCAAAACCTTTCAAAAGGTTCTTGTTCTATTTCACAGTTTCTTTTTGAAAAAAGTTTCCCTAATTGAATATTCTCTAAGCTTCATAACATCTGAAAAACTTAATCATTCCTAAAAGTAATTTCAAGAAGAATATTTGAAAAACTTATTCTTCTGTCAATATATGGATTCACTTGGTCAATGTCATATTACAGAAAAGTTTGTCTGACTGGGATAAAGAAATCTTTTTAAGAACTTTACCTTATCAAAATAGAAGCTTAAAAATTTTAGCTTTTGTTCAAGAAAACCTTTTCACTACTTGAAGAACTTAATGAGAGATGAAAGTTGAATCTATTTACCTACCTGTCACTTGCCTTTCAGTACCATAATTGTTTCTTAGAGATTAAATATATACAGTTGAAGGGGACACTTTTTCTAAAAATTTTTTTTTCATATCACTAATGATATAATGAGACATGTGAGTATAATAAATAAGAGCTTGTTTATATTTTAAAAATTGATATGTTTCATGTCAACCAATCATCTTTGATGAGAATTTGTGCTACCCAAAATTCAGGATCAAACTGAGGTAGGCAAAATTCCCTAGATAACAATGTAAGTGAAAACTCTAAGAGGGCAAGACAATCAAAAAGAAAGAAAATAAATCTTTTTACTACAAAAAATCTCTATAAATCTCTCACTTCAAAGGTCAAATAGACCTTCAGATACTTCACAGTCAGTTCTTCTTCCTTTAAGAACTTTCTTACAATTGGTATCAAAGATATTACTTGATTTTTCTTGGTAACTAAAAGTCAAGTTTTTGAGTAAGAGATTTGTAGACAATAAGGAAAAAGTAGTAGTAACTCCTGAAGTATACTTCAAGTTGTTTTAAGGAAAGTGTTAAGACTTTATTGACAAGAAATTTCTTGCAATCATCTTTTTTGTGTGATCAGAGGATCAGCGGAAAGAATTTTTTTTTATCAACGAAAAAAAGTTATCTAATATACCAGTACTGAAAAAAATTAGGTTATACGAACATGTGCTGTAAATCAATAATATATTAATCTGATTAATCTGATTATCACCCGTGATGCATATCTGTCTTCTTTTGTCTTATTGTGTCACTGATGTCAAAACGCGAAACCGATGTGAGCTCTCCTGCACCTAAACGGAAGTCAATTCGGATTGCGAGACAAGAGTCGCTTGCGGGAGCCACTAGTAACCTTAGAATCTGTTCCGGCTCCAACTCCAGTGCCCGTTCAAGCTATGACTTAAAGGATCTCCCTTCTTCGGCATCTAAATTTGCGTTAGAAGATGTGGAAGCACTAAATGCAACCTTCGAATCGACTTCCAACGAGAACGATGTCATACCTGAGGTTGAAAGTGAGAACTACATTGTGTTAACAATTTTAGTGAACATATGTTTATAATTCGAATATTGTTTAGCTGCCAACCTCCAAGATGCATACGTTCTTCCAAAAATCCGACATCGTATACTCAGAAAAGAAGATTTCACTGTTGGTACGATTAGCGGAACTTCGGATCGACACGTCAAAGGGTTCATTAGCAAACTACACAGAGTTGTCGTGAATGCAAGTCTCGATATAGGCATGGATGAATCTAAAACCGGCTCATTAGTAACCCAGCTGTTAACTAGTATTGTTGACTTCAATATTTGGCCATTAGAGGTTAGGTGAGTAATAATAAAAAATGTCTTTGTATATATATATTCCAATAATTTCTTAAGTTTATATCATATTTAAACCTAGAGTCAAAGAATGCTACAGGCTATCCGTTAGTGATAAGAGAATATCTGCAAGACCTGAATTTGTCGTAGATTTGAAAGAAGTTGTTATGATAGTCGTAGAGGTCTGTATGTTTTTATTGTTTGACGAGTCCACATTATTGATGACTCAAACCCTTTTTCTTAACAGGATAAACATTTGAATAATGTTTCTGCACCTGATTTTGGGGAAGCGCAGATACTTGCCGAGATACTTGCCTGTGGATATGAAAATGTGCGTCTATCTATTACGGATCAGACCATATTGGCTGTTAGTATCATCTCCTCGTATGTTACATTCTACAAGGCTGAGCATATTGGAGAGAACTTAAGAGGGGCTTACCACGAAAGCAGTCAATTACAGTTTTAAGATGGCCGGGGGAGAATGATCCAAAGACAGGTCTAAATTTGGCGGAACCGGCCGGAAGACGTTCAGTTTTGACAGCATTAATCAAAATTCGTGAATCACTTTTGCGGGGAGAAGAAGACGAAGAAGAGGAGAAGGAAGACGAAGAGGAGGAGAAGGAAGACAAGAAGAGGAAGAGGAGGATGAAGAAGAGGAAGACGAACAACTGTCGTAATAATGTGATTGGTCATTTAGTCGTGCTGGGAGCAGTCTATAGTGTTTTATCAATTTATTACAATAAAGAATTGCTATTTTTCATATTCCGTTAAAAAGAATCCTTTTCATGCAACTTGTTATTCTATCCTTCTAATTTTCATTACAGAAGAAATAACCAAAGATAAGTACAGGAGGTTGATCGTGATTAATAATTCTTGTAATTTTATACCAATTATTGCCCTTTTTAAAGAAAAAGCAGAGAATATCAATTGACTGGATTTCTACGATGTGATTATACTTACATAACTCCAAATTTGATTCTTAGACCGTGAGCGTTGCTACAAAATATGTTGAGTTTCGCTGGTTGGTTCCTTTATCCTCTTTGTGCAAGCGAAAAAACTGAACGAAAAAATTTTAATCAATCTTACATTTACATAATCAATCCAAACCATTAAATGAGCCAAATTCCAGAAGAACTTCGTCACATTGCTAATCATATAAAGTGAAAAAATCTTTTTAATGTAATTAACCTGAAAAGACATATGAACATATCCCAATAATTATTATATTACATACTCCCAATGATATCCACCAGTACGAGCTTTACGTCTTTTGCAAACTTTTCCAATATATGATCCATCAATTCCAGTTATGCGTTGTGCTTCAGATATGGATTGAAATTCTTGAGTAGAACCATCGTAAAAACCTGTTTGACGGCACGTCGATGACAATGACCCCAAAGTCCGAGGTGAACAGCGTGCTGAGAGTTTTCTTTCG